CTGAACCATGAAAATAAGATCAAGGAAAATGGACATATGACAGACGGAAACGTCATAAAATGATGCATCTTCATACAAGGTATGAGGCATATAGGTCTTGCACATTCTTCAATATTTAAAGCTTTGTATAAATAGTTTACGCTGTTGTTGGATTTTAATCCCTATGTCACGAATTCTGAGACATGACCTTGATAGATAGGCAAAGGAGGAAAGTTAAGTGCACAAAAAACTGGTAAAGGCTTACCAACTCTTGTGCCTAGGGGATATCTGGACAATATGTTGTTTATCGTTTAGGAATCCTCTGTTAATGGTTGATATGGTCTGTGGTACTGTGTATTTTTGGCTATTCCCAATTTTTCCTTTCAATGTATTATTATTATCAGAGGAAGATAAGTAACTATAGTTAAGATTGCAGGATAAAAAAATGGTCTTTGTTTGTAAGCATCATTTGGTAGCCACACAAATGATACTGTTGCTGTGTTTTCAAGCTAGTACTAACTTACCACTTGTAGCTGGTAGCTCTTTATATTTAGAGGATACAATTGCAGTTTGAAAAACAGTATGAAACCACTTCTGATTGACCTTTTTGACCAGACCTGTCAATCATGTTTTAATTCTTATTAAAAAATCTATACCAAACATTAAAATCTTAGCTGGATTGAAAATCTGTTTCTAAAATTCTAAAAATTCAAAATCCTCACAACAATGTGAGCATTTTTCAAATACTTTTCACATTTTATACTTCTCTGAAACCACTAGCCCTATACAAACTTTGCAAGAATGGTATATACAAAGTCCTCTATAAAGACCCTTATTTGGTTCCAATTTGACAAAAAAAAAAATTCCAAAAGATCTTAATCTCTGTAGTAGCAAGGAAACATGTTTTGAAACTTTTCTGGATTGATATTTAAGGAGATCCACTGCAAACGATTATCATTTAATGTTGATTGGGTGGCAAATATGGTGGCATTGTTGGCACATAGTTCTTATGGTCTTGATGAAATCGCCACGGAAAATCAAATATTCATCTTCTTCTCTGAAACCACTCCCAGGCCTTTATGAAAAATAAGCTTAGTAGAAATGATATACGGAAGGATCTCTTTAAACTGATCACATATAGTTACAAATAGATGAACAAAACACCCACCAAAAGAAATCTTTGATCCATTTTCAAAAATCCTTTTCTCAGAACCTACATGGCAAAAGGTTATGAAATGTTAAATGATTGGTGATTGGGAGACCCTCTACAAATGATCCTCAATGTTGATCGGGGGCAAACATGGCAGCATTGTTGGCACATAGTTCCCATTCAAATTCTTGAAAGTCACATTTTCACCTTTTTTTCTGTAACTACCTGTCAAACTTAAATGAATCTATCAGTTGTTCCAATGAGATGAAAATGTGACTGCCAAAAGCATTCTTACATTTAATATTTGTTTTCTCATTGAGGCAACAAGTCCAAATGGTTTTAAATTATTAGAAAACCATCCTCAAAGAAACTAATTCAATATAATGTAGTAAGTAGCATTTAATGTCACATTAATGCTCTACCTCTATCCTCTTATTTACAAAGTAAGCCACTTATGACCATTGATGCATTTCTTTTCTACCAAGGTAATCCAGGTTAGCAGTTCCAGCACATTGGAGTCTGTAGTTTATTCAGGGTGTCAATATCATTTCTTGTACATATGTGTACAGCAAATATAAAACAAGATGAATAAAATGAGACGTGCATGTTTACTGTTAAGTTAAGGACACAATTCAAAACTGCTGATTGCACACTGAATACAATGTGTAAAATGTGGTAAATGTAATTTAAAATATTAAATGAATTAAGGTATGGCCGTTACAAGAAATAGCACTTTTTATTTGGCATATATCTATTTAGTTAGTCTCAATTATCATTTCAAATTTAATGTCTGCAAAATAGACCAGTCACTTTTTTCCAACTTGCAGTAGATGAAAAGACATACATTTTTGTATAAAAAGAGGGACAAAAACCTCTCGTTTTACAAGGTATATATATATACACTTATTACCTCATTTCATATATCAGGTTTATTATTTAAGATTTAAATTAATTTTCTTCCTTTGTGAGAAGAGCTTTCCTATATTTTCCATGCACCACACAGATTTTTTTAAAGCTGGTCAACAGAAATAATTTGTAAGGGTTCCGCGGAACCCAGTGTCTCGCCTACTTTTGCTGCTAGTCACAGGCTCAACAAAAACGGGGAAAAAGTTATTAAAAATGTTCCTATAGATACTATCTTTTGATTGTAAGAAGCTTCTGTCCAAGTTTGGTAAAAATCCAGAATGGTTTATGATACTAATTAAAGAACCTTAGTGGGCGCGCTCACATAACCCACGTCCCCACATTGTCATTGGAGAAATAAAATAAGTGTAAGAAAAAAAAATTGAATCATAATTTCCTGTCAATATGCACATCTACATAGTATGACCTTATTATCTACAAAGTTTCATTAAATTCTGTTGTGTGGTTTCAGAGGAGTTGCGATGACAAACTGTTGCACTAGTACATTAAAGCAAATAAGTTCAAAGGGGCGCAACTCCTAGAAAAAAAATTGAATCGTAATTTCCTGTCGATATGCACATCTACATAGTATGTCCTTATTATTTACACAGTTTCATGAAATTCGTGGTGTGGTTTCAGAGGGGTTGCGATGACAAACTGTTGCAGTAGTACATTGAAGCAAATAAGTTCAAAGGGGCGTAACTCCTAGAAAAAAATTGAATCGTAATTTCCTGTCGATATGCACAACTACATAGTATGTCCTTATTATCTAAAAAGGTTTCGTGAAATTCTGTTGTGTGGTTTGAGAGGAGTTGCAATGACAAGAAACAGGACTGACGGACAGACAGACGGACGGACAGACGGACGGGTCAAAAACATTATACCCTCCGCAACCCGTTGCGTGGGGTATAATAAATGTTTTAAAAACTTTAACTACAGACTGTATGTAATGTTACCTGGAAGAAAAACTAAGTCCATTTATAAGTTATATACGGAAACACAGGAAATAAATTTTTACAAAATTTCTTTCTAGATACTAGCTTTTGATCATAAACAAGCTTCTGTCCAAGTTTGGTACAAATCGAGGATAGTTTAAGAAAGTTATTAAAAATTTTAAAACTTTAACCACAGAGTGAATGTAATGTTAACTGGCAGGAAAACTAAGTCCATTTATAAGTAAAATAGAGATAAATATGATTTTTTTTTTAGATTTACTTCTGGATACTATCTTATGATCATAAACAAGCTTCTGTCCAAGTTTGGTAGAAATCCAGGATATTTTAAGAAAGTTATTAAAATTTTAAAAACTTTAACCACAGAGTGAATGTAATGTTGACTGGCACAAAAACTAAGTCCATTTATAAGTAAAATACGGAAAAACAGGATTTTTTTTTTTTTTACAAAATTTACTTCTGGATACTATCTTAGGATCATAAACAAGCTTCTGTCCAAGTTTGGTAGAAATCCAGGATAGTTTAAGAAAGTTATTAAAATTTCAATAAATTCCTTCGCCGAGCGCAGCTGTATATGACCGCAGAGGTCCAACCCTGAACAGTTGGGGCAAAAATGGACACAATATTCGTGCTTGATACAGGTCTGAATTTGGATTGTAATTAAATATTTGACACATAAAAGGTTTCTGACACAGAATAACTGTAGTCAAAGAACTTAGAATTGGTTATATGATTTGAATTTATATTCAATTTTTGGCTTTTGTGCAATACACTTTGCTGTTGCAAATTGACCCCCCCTCCCCCCACAAAAAAAAATATAAAAAATTTACCCCCCCCCCCCCCCCCTCTTCTTTTTTTTTGCTTTTGTGCAATACACTATGCTGTTGCGTATTAACCTCCCCTTTTCTTTTGCAAAAAAAATAATATTTGAAGAATTTTTCTTTTTAATTTCTGAAATCTGAAAACATTTACCCCCCACAATTTCTTCTTACCCCCCCCTTTTTCCCCAATGGAGTTTGCAACCATAATTACCCATTTAAATTTACCATAGTGCTAACCTATTTTATAGTAGAGTTTAAAATATGGTGTCAAATCTTTCATATGGATTTTTTTGTAAAAAAAAAAATATGCAACATTTGCAGATATTTTTACTGGTCTTCCTTTATAAATATGCATTTCTTTAAACATAATTTAAAAGCAGTGTAAGGGAGGTAATCAAAACGTTGTATTTGGTTTACCTCCCTTACACAGCTTTTAAATTGTCTTAATTGTTCATTAACCATTACTTTATACATAATTTAAAAGCAGTATAAGGGAGGTAATTCAAATGATGTATTTTAATTACTTCCCTTACACTGCTTTAAATTATGTTTTGTACTAAAATATTTGTCCATTAACCAAGACACCCTTGTTTTTCCCCCTTTTTTGCCCCTAATTCCTAAACGGTTTGAGCCATAACCCCACAAAGCAAATCCTAACCATCCCTTTATGGTATGGAAACTTGTGGTATAATTTCAAGTGAGATCCATACACCGTTCCACAAGTTATTGTCTGGACTCTGGAAACTAGAAAAATGCTTATTTTTGGCCCCTTATTCCTTAACTGTTGGTACCATAACCCCCAAAATCGATCCCAACCTTCCTTTTGTGGTATTGAACCTTATGGTAAAATTTCATAGAGATCCATTCACTTAAACAAACTAAAGTTATTGTGCGAAAACCAATGTGTCTTCGGACGACAACGACGACGATAGTGGGCTAATAATACTGTAAATTCAGAAATTATTGCATGGTTTTTATTAATGGAAATAATGAGACTGGGTGAGTATTGCAATAATTAGAACTTGCATTCCGATATCTGATACATATATATGTATGCAGATTTTTCTGAAATCACAATAATATATCTCGCATTATTGTCCATTCTTTAAAAATCGCAATCATAAATGCACCCAATAATTTCTGAATTACCAATAGCATAATTTGTTTCTTTGTAATAAAAAACAAAACTACATGTACAAATATTTCTATGTTTATGGCACAAATATAAAAATAGCACTTTAAGAATACAATATAAATTACAACAACCACATAATTGATACATAAAGGTAGTTACTAGTAAAATAAGAATATAAATGTGTAAATTGATTATTTTTTTAATATATGAAATTTAGTTTTTTTGAAAAATAATAGCATAATTTATTTCTTTATAATAAAAAACAAAACTATATGTACAAATATTTCTATATGTATGGCACAAACAAAAATATGGCACTTAACGATAAAAAACAAAATACAACAATCATATAAATAACATGTAATAGTAGTAGGTACTAACTAGTAAAAGAAGAATATAAATGTATAAATTGATAATTTTTTAATGTATAAAAGTTATTTTTTTGAAAACATTTAAATTCAAATAATCTTCATTTAAAGTTGGCCAGATTAATAACAATATAACATAACCTCACATTGAGCTGTAGGACCCGATTTAAGACATTCATGCAAACAATAAATCATATTAAGTTACAGAATTCACATGTTAGTATAATAAATTTTTAACAAACAAATATGTGTTGACTGTGTAACCTAATCACAAACTTTAATAATTGTTGATGCTGCGGACACCTATGCCAAAAATAGCATGCCTAGGTCTCACTTCAGTGACTTTCATAACAGGTGAGACAAAAATTTATTGCGGACTGGATATCTGAGAATTTTCACCCTGAGTAAGTTCAAAGGTTTAATGCCCTAATCTCTGTGGGATATCCAACAAAGAAGGATGATCAAGAATATGATAGAAGCAAACATAAGCTATTTGTATAAAAATAAGAATGGTCTGTGTTGTAAGACCTCACTGGGATCATGAGATGAAGATCTGCAACAAAAAAGCAGTTCCTTTGCATTGGGTTTTATTAAGTGCATGTATAGGGCTTTTGTGTCATGAATTTATAAACCAGATCTCATCTTTTCCAATGTACGATATAAACATTTTAAACAAACCTAGCATTTTTAATCCAAACTATCTTTAAGTGTCTTCTACTTCCTGGCCAAATTTGCTGTGACTGTTAGGAAATGATATAAAGTAACATACATAAAGTAATACATTTTTTGTCGTATAATGCCCCAACCTTTATAAAAGCCCCACTAAAAAATCCTAAACCTTTCAAAAAGTCATGAATACCCACCCAAAGATATTGAACATATCGAATGCTTTTCAACACAAGTTCTTATGGAAACACTGATAAATTAAAAGCGTTTCTATTACCTGAATTTTTACTGCCAAACTTCCAACTTATACTCGAGTTCCTAAAGTACTGATTGAATGATGCTTACTATAACCTCAGCATTGAGCACAGTACAAAATAAAAATATTGTTTTTCACATGCCAATATTTCACAATTTACATTTATAATGAGAAAAGATGTATTTTTATTTCAGCAATATGTAATTTTCTCTCTGTAAATACTAATGTAAACAATTAAATACATTATACTTAATTCATGTTTCCAAGAAACTAGAATAAGCAGTGTAATCAAGTCCTTTCAAATAAAACTACAATGCTATAAGATGACCAGTATTTGTTCTTCCATTAGCCAGAAACACCAGTTAAAATCAATGTTGGTCTTTCTTTTGAAACCAGGTTATCCTTTTACTATACTGATAAAATTACTGTGCAAAAAATTCATTACACAACAGGTTAGTTACTTGAAAGTTACCTATAACCTGAACTTTTAGAATTTTATGCTTCAGGTTGACAGGTAGTTAGTTTTGATCACTGAAAACAATCGATAAAAGTTACAAAATATATACCAAATTGCATTTCCATAAAAAGCTTTTAAACAACATTCTACAAAGTTAACAACATATCTATTTGAGTGTATACAAAATACAATGAGTTTTTATTTTGTTATTTTACTGTTTTCCATCATGCAGTTATAATAGGACTGTTAATAACATTACATTTTGATAAAAACAAATGCCATTAAAAACTAGAGGTACTGCGGGCAAAGCTAAACAAAATGACACCAGATCACACAAAGTACTCTTCCACGAGTATAAAATATTAAGAATCTAACTTCAGAAAGAGTGCAAACATTTTATGAGGTTCACAATGGTAAAACAAAAATGTACTGATTAAAGTTCTGAGAAACTTTCAATAAATTGGAACAAGGGGTTAAGGAGGAGAGGTGAAAACACTACAATGTAAACAGTAGTGTGCAGATATGAATAAGTACATGTCATGTCTAATTAAACCCAAAAATCATTCATGAAGAAATGAAATAAGAGATGCAAAAGTGCATCATGTCTGTCAGATTCTGTGAAAGTGGCATAAAAGTATGTTAAGCAGTTCATAAGCAGTAGTGAATACAAAAGTTGGACAGAAGGGGGAACAGAGGGTTAAAGTTTTAATTTAACATATTTGTAAACTTACTAACCTAGAGTATTTTTTTAATATTTTCTACTTTTAATTGGCAATGGTTATCTTCTATTACCTTTGTGTACAGTTAGGAAAAAAACTTAAAATTGACACTCATAATTTTTAACCACCCTCTTTCCCTTGCTTTTTAACAAATCAGGCTTAATGTTTGTATTATGTATGCGCATGTGTATGGAAACAGCATCTTCCATAGACTTGATTTCCAATAGTTAAAATGGTGAAATATAATCTCTTTTTGGTGTAACCATGGCAACAATCTGCATTTATTTGATACAAACTATTGCAAAAAGGGGGGTCAAAATGTCACAAAAGTAACCAAAATTTGGGCCAAAGAAGAAATTCAGTCCATTAGAGTGATACATTTTCTGAAACCATCAAGAGTTCCAAAAAAAGTCATATGCATTTCACCTCGTTTTTCCATAAAATTGAATTGAAAAGTTCGAAGGTCAAATATTTGTTGAAAAACACTACAATAATTTCTGAACCTATGGGCAGTACGGATGTGAAAATACAGACTGTCAAACAGAAAAATGGCCTTTAAAACATGCAAAAAACAATCTTGATGTTCATATAAACCCACTTTGGAGGCTATATTATTCTTCAGCTATCTAAAAAATCAATTCTATTGCACAAAAACTTTCATATTTAAAATATTCACCAGGGCAAAAATGCAAACCTAAACTCCTAACTGTGTATTGTTACCTTTTTACTTACTGAACAAATATCATTAAATGAGCAATTTTCATATGAACCAGAAAATCTGTATAAACTTATGGGATCATTCACTTAGTAAAAAGTTCACAATACTTGGCATTTGACATACAGAATTATGCTCTTTTTCTTCTATGTCCTTCATACTTTGTAATGATGAAATCAAGTTTCTAGTCATCTGAATCCATAAGGCAGTAGAATTTCTCTCTGTGCCTTGAACCACATGTTCAATGCTAAGTTCTAATTTTTTACGAATCTCCTGAACCTTTTCTGGTTCTTTTAAAGTGTATTTGTCACCTGAAAATATAAAATTAAAAAGAAAAATCAATTAATTATACTCAACAAATTAAATTCTGTAAATTCAGAAATCATTGTGTGCATTTATTATTGTCATTTTTTTAAGAATGGACAATAATGAGAGATTAGTTATTGAGATTTCAGAAAAATCTGCATATATGTATTAGATATCAGAATGCAAGTTCTTAATATTGCATTAATAAAAACCTCACAATAATTTCTAATTTACAGTACTGTGGATTCATTTATTTTTTTTGTGGGTACCAATTTTCAAGGATTGCGGAAAACTGGTGCTGGATGCTGCCTAGTCGAAATAAAAGTTTTCTAAAATCATGAATGTTATAAAGCCATCGGATCATGAACAAATAAAACGGACACTCCCCATTTTCCAATCCTAACAGAATCAAATAATACCATTTTTTGTACAAATAGAATAAACAAATATGTGTCTGAAGTGAACAGCAGTACATGTATATTGTATTTGCTAAAGTTAACATTGTAAATGGTCACGGGCAGTATCTCTTCCTTGAACAGTACCAGACATTGCAACTTATTTAATTGACAAATGTTGGTGAACATTTAAAAATTGTTATATAAACCCAGATTACTGCAAATTCAGATATTAATGAGTGCATTTATTATTGCGAATCACTGATTAGTGGTAAAAATGTGAGATAAAATGTATGTGATTGCAAACATTTTGTGAAGGAAGATCACTACTGAAATTATGAATGCAAGTTTTTATTATTGTGAACCTGATACTGTCGTATTTTCCCATTAATGAAAACATCTCAATAATGAACATAATTTCCATACATACTTGGTGTTGTAATCAACAGAGCCAAAACAAGAGCTTGTTCTTTCTTTGTAAGATTCAGATTCTGTATTCCTTTACAAAACTCTGTCCACACTTTAAGCAATTCTTCAGGCATCCAACCAACAATTTCTTTGATGTTATATGTTTGACCAGAAAACAGCATGACCATTTCTGTGTCCGGATCACAAGCTTCGTGTATGATGAAGAAGAAGCATTCTGACCTTGAAGCTGCAAATAAAAGTCATTCAAATAAGAAATGTAATTTTATGGATTTGTTCAGTTTCATAGTGGGTTGTAAAGGGTTATTTTTGTGCAACATGTTTGTTAATTTCATTACACATGATTACGCGCAAATTGGTAGGCAAGCAATGTGTAAGCTATTTTTATATATTTCTTTCATTGTAAACTGGCCATTTTATTTCCCATTCATCTGGGCACATACTCCCCTATTACAACCCTCTTCATATGTTACTGTGGTTTGTCATCTGTGAAGGACCAAATAGAATATGGGTCATACATTCCCCATTAAATGGGAAAATGAAATAAAAGCCATTTTATTGCAAAACCATATGCATGTATAAAGATTGAGTTTTTGTATAACAAAATACTTATTACCCTTGACCACAATTTAAGTAGTCATAGTAACAGTTAACCTCTCAGAAGTTTGAAGATTTCTGAGGAAATCAAAATAATTCACAATAAAATGCTTCGCTGAGCGCAGCTGGATATGACCGCAGAGGTCCAACCCTGAATAGTTGGTGCAAAAATGGACACAATATTCGCGCTTGATACAGGTTTGAATTTGGATTGTAATTAAATACTTGACAGATAATAGGTTTCTGACACCGAATAACTGTAGTCAAAGAACTTAGAATTGGTAATATCATTTGAATTTATATTCAATTTTTTGCTTTTGTGCAACACAATATGCTGTTGCAAATTGACCCCCCCCCCCCAAAAAAAAAAAATTTACACCGCCTTTTTTTTTGCTTTTGTGAAATACACACTGCTGTTGTGTATTGACCCCCCCAAAAAAAAATTTTTAACCCCCCCTTTTTTTGCAAAAAATAATAATATTTGAAGAAATTTTCTTTTTAATTTCTGAAATCTGAAATGAAAAAGAAAATTGCCCCCCCACAACTTTTTTATACCCCCCTCCCCCCCTTGATTTTTTTTTCACCTCCCCCCCCCCCCCCTTTTCTAAAAAAAAAATTCTTTCCCTCAAGATACGGTCATAATCTCAATTCAAATTTCCAATGGAGTTTGCAACCATAATTACCAATTTAAATACATCATAAAAGTCTTAAAATAGAAAATGACATACATAATCATTGCTAAAATTATTATTCCTTTAATAGTAACTTCTAAGAATAAATTGACAGCTAATCACCTCAAGACAATACAAAATTTCTTTATACATAATTTAAAAGCAGTGTAAGGGAGGTAATCCAAACATGCACAACATTGTACTTTAAATGTGTTTGGATTACTTCCCTTACACTGCTTTTAAATTGTCCATTAACCAGGAAACCTTTGTTTTCCCCTTTTTTGCTCCTAATTCCTAAACAGTTTGAGCCATAACCCCCCAAAGTCAATCCTAACCATTCCTTTGAGGTATGGAAACTTGTGGTATAATTTCAGAGAGATTCATACACTGTTCCACAAGTTATTGTCTGGAAACTAGAAAAATGCTTATTTAGGCCCTTTTTTGGCCCATAATTCCTAAACTGTTAGGACCATAACCCCCTAAATCAATACAACCTTCCTTTTCTGGTTATAAACCTTGTGTTTAAATTTCATAGATTTCTATGTACTTATACTAAAGTTATTGTCTGGAAACCAAATGTCTTCGGACGACAAAGACGTAATACCAATATACGACCGCAAAATTTTTTGCGGTCGTATAAAAATAGGCACAATGCCTGTGCATTTATCATTGCTAGTTCTGATTGAACAATAAAGCTTTAAAATTTTCAGAAAATACTATACAAATAATACAATAAGATTTTAAAATGCCAGTTCTAATTAACAATTCACTAATACTGTCTCTTTTTTGCAAAAAACAGAGAAAATGGACTTATTACATTCTCACTTATCAGGGACTATAGTAAATACAATACCTTTTAACAAGGCTGCTTGATCACAAGTTAATAATGAACAGAATCCTGGAATGCGTTTAGCAAAGTCAACATATTGATGAACTATGACCTCATACCAGCTAAAGTGGTCATCCATTTGTTTCATTCTCCCATCAGCATCAATTCCTGTTGTTTTGTATAAGTTATAAAATTCTCTGTCTGGTAAACTCCTCAGTTCACCAAATACTTCCTGTTTCACTTTGAAAGCTTCCTGCAATTGAATATATATTGTTTAAACATAACATTTATAACCATATTGTTAGACTGATAGATTTTGAAAACATATGTAGCAATTAAAGGTTGTGAAAATGTTGGTATAAAATCAACTTTCTATTCATAAGTTGAGAGCAAGATTTAGAAAAATGCAAAAATGCTCATATGAAACAATCCGCATCATAATATTTTCCTGACAAGGGTGAATGAAACATATATGTTTTCTTGTCAAAGGTGAATGGAACATACATGTTTTCCTGTCAAGGATGAATGGAACATACATGTTTTCCTGTCAAGGGTGACTGGAACATACATGTTTTCCTGTCAAGGGTGACTGGAACATATATGTTTTATTGTCAAGGGTGAATAAAACATACTGTCAGGGTTGAATGGAACATACCTGTTTTCCTGACAAGGGTGAATGGAACATACATGTTTCCTGTCAAGGGTGAATGGAACATACATGTTTTCCTGTCAAGGATGAATGGAACATACATGTTTTCCTGTCAAGGATGAATGGAACATACATGTTTTCCTGTCAAGGATGAATGGAACATACATGTTTTCCTGTCAATGATGAATGGAACATACATGTTTTCCTGACAAGGGTGAATGGAACATACATGTTTTCCTGTCAAGGATGAATGGAACATACATGTTTTCCTGTCAAGAATGAATAGAACATACATGTTTTCCTGTCAAGAATGAATGGAGTATACTAAGTACATGTTTTCCTGTCAAGGATGAATGGAACATACATGTTTTCCTGACAAGGGTGAATGGAACATACATGTTTTCCTGTCAAGGATGAATGGAACATACATGTTTTCCTGTCAAGGGTGAATGGAACATACATGTTTTCCTGTCAAGGGTGAATGGAACATACATGTTTTCCAGTCAAGAGTGAATGGAGTATACTAAGTACATGTTTTCCTGTCAAGGGTGAATGGAACATACATGTTTTCCTGTCAAGGATGAATGGAACATACATGTTTTCCTGTCAAAGGTGAATGGAACATACATGTTTTCCTGTCAAGGGTGAATGGAACATACATGTTTTCCTGTCAACGGTGAATGGAACATACATGTTTTCCAGTCAGGAGTGAATGGAACATACATATTTTCCAGTCATGGGTGAATGGAACAATGTCTTGTTTTCCTGTCAAGGTGAATGGAACATAAATGTTTTCTCAACACGGGTGAATGGAACAATGTCTTGTTTTCCTGTCATGGGTGAATGGATCAATGTCTTGTTCTCAAGTCATTGCATTTTGATATCTCATTTTATTATTCATAAAAAAATCACCATGTGCTGAACATGCTGAATTGGTTTTAACTCAATGATTGGCCAATAAAAGTTTCCCCAGTCAAAAAAGAATCAACATGACGAGCCTGTTTAAATATAAATGACAAAAAATTTAAAGAGTGTATGATATGAAATGTTATGAATAAATTATTATGGGGCACTTACTATGTACTGAGTGGTAGGAATGAACTTAATTATTATATATATGAAGATATTGAGAAATTAACATGAAAATATATGATAAAGTTGCTAATTAAATTGTGAGTATCAGAAACTTATCAGATTTCAATAGATATAGGTGTACTTTTTGTCAAAATATCAAAATATTGGATAAAGTATGTATTTTTTTCATTTGAATCATATGAAAAGGAATAATTTAACCTAACTACTTACTGATCCTTCTTTCAATTTCTGTTTCACTTCATCTGCTGAGTATTTTACATTGAAGACCTGGATACAGTCCATTGCATGAGTCAATGATGATACAATACCATCAATGTCAGTACATGTATCTTCACTTAATTCTACTTCCTGTGACAGACGGTGTTCAAGATTTTTAAATATACAATCATCACCACAGTCTTCTCCACCTACAGTTAACCATTCCTTGTTCATAGACTCAACATCCCCATTATGATGATTTATATATTCTTTAACATGCTGTATCATTTTACTTTCGTCACCACCAGAGGAATACATTGAGTTTTTACACGAAAGACTAAGATTTGTTGTTGCAGAAGAATGAACTTTAACCCTTTCACCAGGCAATGAAGATTCATGACCCTGGAAACATGAATGATGTGAACTGCTAGAAGAATGAACTTTAACCCTCTCACCAGGCAATGAAGATTCATGACCCTGGAAACATGAATGATGTGAGCTGCTATCTATGATTGATGAATTTTCGGCACCAAACACAAGATTTTTATCTGCCATTGGATGTTTTATCTTTTGAAGTGTTGTTCCACATTCCATCCCGTTTAGTTGTGTTGGTATGACTGTTACGTTCTGTGATTCATCATCGCCAAGTGTGAGTAGTGTTTCCTGATTTTCAAAAATGAGATATGGAGTTTGAATGTGATCATCTGGTTTTGACTGCATGATATAATCTCCGGTTATTTCATCTGGCAGTTTATCTTCACTAAAACCATGTTGTAGCAGTTCATTGCTTCCTACAACTATCGGATTTGTTGTATGGGTTGTTTGTTTTATTTCTTCTTCTTGTCTATTTTTGTATTCAATCAATCTGTCTGCTTTATCATTTATTGTGACTCTCCCCATCTGAATAGCTGAAATCAGAATTTTTTTTTTAAACAGAAATTAAATTGACAGGTCCTGTTTACACAAAGCTATATATGTAAGCTGAGTTGACTTAACTACTATAGGAAACCACAAAAACTGTGCAGAACTGAAATAGATGTGTACAAATACACAGACAGACAGACAGAACTGAACAATTTGACTACTTACATACAAAGCATAGGTGCTAGCTTCTTCAGACTCCTGAAGGGGAGATCTCAATCTAAGAGATTTTTTTTAGTTGGAGATTTACCATAAAACATATTTGGTGTTGTTTTCTATGATATTTATTTTTATGAATTCATTCCATGAAACAATATTTCATGATGCCTGAGCACTGGATATTGTGTACACAAACCATTTTCTGTTGATAATTGGACAGTTTTTACAGGGCAAACAATTACTTATGATCACATTAAACTCTGTCTGGTGAACCAACGCCTGTGTAAAAGTGACGCTAACAAAATTCAAACTGATCAAACAGATCTGTGTTTTGTGGTAATTAGCATTTTGAATAAGTTTCATAACATTTGGTTGAGGAAAACTAAAGTTAGAGAACAGAAACCAATTTTGGGACATACGGACAGATGAACAGACTGACAAGGGTAAAACTTAATGCCCCCCTCCGCTACAGCGGGGGCATAAAAAAAACTTTCAATTGATATCTATCAAAGTTAACTATTTGAAATGAATGAGGTTTCTCCAACATACAAGATTTTAATCAGGTTTAGCATAATAAAACATGCTATTTATACATTACAAGGAAGTAAATAAGTTTTACCATCAACAGACATTCCAACCTCTAAACATTTCCTTAGTCTACACCCAGAACATTTTCCTCTCTTTTCTGTAATATGACAGTCTTGTTGTAATTTACATTCATATGGAGATTTTCTGATAAATGCTCTCCTAAAAAATCCCTGAAAAATATTAAGGAATAACTTAATCATTGTTGTACATTTGAAAACAAGATCTATGATAATAACAATTTTAAGTGAAAGTAGTTTGCTGTAACTTCCTTATTTCAAGTAATGAAATCCATAAAATTACTTACATAATGTTCTTCTTTATTTGATGATTTTATGTGTTGTGTCATACACTGCCTCAAATCTATAATGAGGGGCCTCTGTGGCCGTGTAGTCTAAGTAGTTTATCTACTGTATCACTAGCCTGTCAACACTAAGGTTGTGAGTTTGAACCCAGCCTCTGTGGCAGAGTGGTCTAATTAGTTCATCTACTGTATCACTAGCCTGTCAACACTGAGGTTGTGATTTTCAAACCCTGCAGTGGCAGGTGCCTTCAAATCTTAATTGACTAGTATTATCAGTTTTCTTGCTGAAAGTCCGTGGTTCTCTCCCTACACTTCGGCTCCCTTTACCATTAACAAAAGTGCACTAGCTAAAATGTCTCGTCTGTTTTACTTATCAGTGAATTCATGTTGAAAGTCTGTAATATGAAGGTTTTACTACAAGTATCACATAAACTTAACATTAACAATTTTCAATGAAAAAAAGGTCAGACGAACCCTGCCAGGTAGACATGTATACCATGCACCAACTATAGTGGTCATACTGCTAATAGTACCTAAGAAACAGACCAAACCACAAAATCTTAACATTGACCAATGAATTATGAAAATGAGGTCAAGGTCATATGAACCCTGCAAGACAAACATGTACACCTTACAACAATTCCATACACCAAATATAGTTGACCTATTGCTTAAAGTATCTGATAAACTGACAAAGTTAAGAAAACTTATCATTGACCGATGAACCAAGAAAATAAGTTCAAGGTCATATGAACACTACCAGACAGACATGTACACCTCACAACTGTTCCATACACTAAATATAATTGACCTATTGCTTATAATACCTAAGAAATAGACCTAACCACAAAAACTAAAAATTGTCCAATGAACCATGAAAATAAGGTTGAGGTCAGATGAAACCTGTCAGTCGGACATGTAAAACTTACAATCATTCCATACAACAAATATAGTTAACCTATTGCTTATAGTATCTGAGATATGGACTTGACCACATAACTTTAACCTTGATTTCTTATCCATGGAATAAGGTCGAGGTCAGATGAACCCTGACGGACATGTAGACGTTGCAAGGAACTCATATACCATGGCATTAAGCACCGATAATCAATCAAATCTATAATATAAACTGTTATCACAGAGATATGTCTCGCCCTTTTGTAATTTTGATTATGCAAAATATAGTTATCTTATTACTCATAATAAGTGAGTATTTCACTTTTCCAAAAAACTGTTTTTTTTTTTCATGCAGTCACTAAACTATGAGTTGAGGTCAAGGGTAATGAATATATGACAGACGGAAACTTCGTAACATAAGGTATCTGCACACAAGGTATGAAGCATCCAGGTCTTCTACCTTCTGAAATATAAAGCTTTAAACAAACAGTTTACGCCGTTGCCAGATTGTAATACCTATGTCTCACATACTATGACTTTCGTCGCAGGCAAGACAAAATTGACTGCCATGATATAGAAAATAGTGCTGAAAGTGGCATTAAGCACCGATAATCAATCAAATCTATAATATAAACTGTTATCACAGAGATATGTCTCGCCCTTTTGTAATTTTGATTATGCAAAATTTGAAATTAAAATAGCAACACTTTAACATGTTTCATAAGCAAGATAAGTTATGCAAATATTCAAAGTCAAGGAACCATGACTGAGGTACATGGCTAAACAATCTCCATGTAAATGAGATGTGCCAAAGCTAATACAACTGCATACCAAATACCATTGACTTATTATAAGTTGTTCCCTTTAAACAAACCTAAACACAAACATTAACTTGTAAACTATGTAAAAGTTTCAAAGTCAATGAACCATGAAGAGGGGGTGGGGCTATATAATCTCCATGGAAACAATACTTGCAAATGCCAATAAATAAACCAAATATCATTGACTTAACATTAGCAGTTCATCTTAAACTGATCTAATCACAAACTAATAATGTAAACTAAGCAAAAGTTTCTAAGTCGATAGACCATGACTAAGGGGGTGGAGCCAAATATTCTCCATGGTAATGAGATGTGCTAATGCTTATACAACTGAATACCAATTAACATTTGCCTACCCTAAATGGTTCCCCTTGAACTGACCTAATCACAAACTAATACATGTTAACTTAGCAAAATTTTCAAAGTCAATAGATCATGACTAAGGGGGAGGAGCCAAATAATCTCCATGGAAATGAGATATGCCAATGCTTATACAACTGCATACCAACTATCATTGACCTACCACTAGTGGTTCCCCATAAACTGACCTAATCACAAACTAAAACATGTAAAATACCGGTAAGCAAAAGTTTCAAAGTCAATAGACCATGACTGAGGGGGCGGGCCAAATAACCTCCATGGTAATAAGATGTGCCAATGCTAATACAACTGCATACCAAATATGATCGACCTACCACTTGTGGTTCACTATAAACTAGACCTAATCACAAACTAATACATTGTTGACGACGCCAACGCCGACGCCTACAACAGCATTCCTATGTCTTGCTTTTTGACTCCGTCAAGGCGAGACAAAAATCTGCTATACAAATTTTAGATCCTAATAAAGCATCTTGATCTGATATCATAATCCATAAAATTTTGAAAATGAGCACTGTAGAGTAGCAGTCCTTTTATAAATAATATCAAATAAACCTGTGTAGAAATGCAAATTTCTCATCAGTTGGAAGATACCAAATATAATTTCAATTTTTTAAAAGGGAGACACTTCATTTCTGTCTGTATTCAATCAATTACTAAGAAATAAACTAATATATGAATATCAGTCTGGTTTTCTTCCAAATGCAGTTCACCAGCTATTAGAAATTTACATTTGTATTTTAAACTCATTTGAAAATTTAAAAAAAAATGCCATTTCTTCATATGTGACTTTTTAAAACTTTCAATAACATCTGACATCAAGTATTATTACATAAAATGAAGTCTTACAGTATTGAGGGCAAGTTATTGTTATGGCTTGGTAGTTACTTGAACAACATACAACAGCAGTAACAATCAAACAATTCTCCTCTGAACTATGCAATGTTTCAGCTGTTGTCCCATAGGCTTCAGTATAAGGACCTCTTTTATTTATCATTTATTTTTATGATATTGCTGAAAATCGTCTTAATGTAAATTATTTGCAGATGACACATCTCTCAGCTACTCTGATCATGACATGTCACAGATAGAATCAGTAAAAGGTCACATCCTGAGTGATCTGAGCATTGGTCTAAGAAATGGTTGAAAATCTTAAATCCATCCCCCCAAAAAAAACAGAAATGTATAGGGTTCATAACAAGTGAGAATTGGATAACGCTTGATATCAACTTGACTTATTCAATTTCTATTAATTATTATAAAATAATGAAAATTGATATCAAGCAATATCCAATTCTAAAAAATTGTGAAATATATTTCTCTTTCGTGTTTAATATAAAATTCTGCAATACATTAGTCTTGTCTTTTGGCATCTAAAGAGTTTGATGTCATTGGTCTGCTTCTGGCATCAATGGTTAACATCAGACATTTTTCAAACTTTTGGTAGACTTTAGAATAGAACCAATTTGACAAAAAGAAAATTTTCATGTGAAAAATGTGAGTATTTTTTCATACTAATGAAGAAATCCTATATCTTCATTGCGATTGAGGAAATGAAATATGTTGGGACTTTAAAAAGTCATAATTGACCTAATGATTAGACAATGGAAAAGTGGCAATTTCGTATCACTTTGCAGGATAGGTCAACCAAATAAATCTATTTTTTTTTATCACTTATTTATATTCATCCCTTTTGCGCATCAAAGCAAATAAAATGTGTTTAAACTAAAACTAAACTATCAAATCCATCTTTTAAAATGTATGAAGTTTGTTTGCTGACATTAAATAATCTTACTTTATAAGGATCTCACTGGAAAATTCTCCATGTAAGTCATGTTGCATCCCATTCTTATAAATTTACAAGAATAAAATTGAGAATGGAAATGGGGAATATGTCAAAGAGACAACAACCCAACCAAAGAGCAGACAACAGCCGAAGGCCACCAATGGGTCTTCAACGCAGCGAGAAAATCCCGCACCCGGAGGTGGTCCTCAGCTGGCCCCTAAATAAAATTGTGTACTAGTTCAGTGAAAATGGACGTCACACTAAACTCCAAAACATATAAATGAACTAAAATTTAAAAAAATACGAGACTAACAAAGGCCAGAGGCTCCTGACTTGGGACAGGCACAAAAATGCGTCAGTGTTAAACATGTTTTGTGAGATCTCAACCCTCCCCCTATACCTCTAGCCAATGTAGAATAAAGAAACATATAGCAATACGCACAGTAAAACTCAGTTTAAAGGAAGTCCAAGTTGGATGTCAGAATAGGTAACAAAAGAAACTAAGCAAAATGACAATGATACATAAATGAACAAAGGACTACTAGCAGTTACTGACATGCCAGCTCCAGACCTCAATTAAACTGATTGAAAGATTGTGTCTTCATCATATGAAAATCAAGTACAATCCCTGCCGTTAGGGGTTTAGTATCATACCATCATAAAATATATGAGAACATAACCCATATCATACCAACAACTGGTTTTAGAATAAATGTGTTTATTTCCGATGCAAAGACCCTATGAGTGAATCAATATTAATACCAAAATATGCATTCCTTAATGACTTGACAACAGTATCGTAACTATATCCTTTCCGAATAAGTCTGTTTAAAGGTTTGGTTAGCTTTTGAGGTAAATGCCGACATTTTTGTGCTTTGTAAAGAATATTACCATAAAATATTGGATGTGAAATACCTGAACGTGTAAGATGTCTGCATGTTGATTTATATTTACAAATGATGTCCTTGTACTGATGATAAAATTTAGTAAATGTTTTGACTAGTTTGTGATATCGAAAAACCCTGTTGTAATACAGAGATTTCTTTCGTTGAAATCAAATATGTTGTTACATACATGAGCGCCTCGAACAAGTTGAGATATATAAACACCATAAGATGGCGACAAAGGAACGTCACCATCTAAAAAAGGATAATTAACAATAAGAAATGAAAAATCATCTCTTTTATCATAAATTTTGGTATTAAGAAGTTTATTTTTTTATAAATTTTTTATGGTTTCAAAAACTCAGAAATGTCTATGATTTCTTATCTCAATATTGAAATATTTTGTTCCTACCCTAACACATTTTATGGACATTTTTGGTTAAGCAAAGTTGTTAATGTCCTCACATATTTGGTTAAGCACCGTCCAGATAATTTCTCAAAACAGTCCATGTAAAACATTAACAAGAGTGCACATACTGAAATGTCTCGCCTTCTTTACTAACCATTGATTTTATGTTGATAGTCCTAAATATAAAGCTTTACTACAAGTAACACATAAACTTAACATGATCCAAGAAAATGAGGTCAAGGTCAGATAAACCAAACGAGAAATACATGTACACCTTACAATCATTCAATAAACCAAACATAGTTGACCTATTGCTTATAGTTTCTAAGAAACAGTCTTAACCAAGAAAACTTAACATTGACCAATGAACCATGAAAATGAGGTCAAGGTCAGATGAACCTTGCCAGACAGACATGTACACCTTACAATCAATTTATGCATTAAATATAGTTGACCTATTGCTTATAGTATCTAAGAAACAAACTTAACCATGAAAACTTAACATTGACCAATGAACCATGAAAATGAGGTCAAGGTCAGATGATACTTGCCAGACAGACATATACACTTTACAATCCCTCCATACAACAAGTATAGTTGATCTATTGCTTATAGTTGAAGAAAAACAGACCAAAACACAAAAACTTAACACTGAGAATCGTGAAAATGAGGTCAAGGTCAAATAAAACCTATGAGACTGACATGTACATCATAAAATATTTCCATACACCAAATATAGTTGACCTATTGCATATAGTATTAGAAAAAAAGACCAAAACTTAAAAACTTAACTTTGACCACTGAACCATGAAAATGAGGTCAAGGTCAGATGACACCTACCAGTTGGACATGTACACCTTACAATCATTCCATATACCAAATATAGTAGACCTACTGCTTATAGTATCTGATATATGGACTTGACCACGAAAACTTAACCTTGTTCATCGATCCATGAAATGAGGTCGAGGTCAAATGAAAATTGTCTGACAGGCATGAGGACCTTGCAAGGTACGCACATACTAAATATAGTTATCCTATTACTCATAATAAGAAAGAAATTAACATTACAAAAAAAGTTGACTTTTTTTTCAAGTAGTCACTGAATCATGAAAATGAGGTCAAGGACAATAGACATATGACAGGCGGAAACTTCATAACATAAGGCATCTATATACAAAGTATGAAGCATCCAGATCTTTTAGCTTCTAAAATATAAAGCTTTTAAGAAGTTAGCTAACGCTGCCGCCGCTGGATCACTATCCCTATGTAGAGCTTTCTGCGACAAAAGTCGCAGGCTTGACAAAAAATCATTTTATCAACCAGTCTACTTGTTTTCTGTCAGGAGACAAGAAAGTAAGAACCACCTAATCTATATATATATATAAATTGTGTACTTCTTTTACCAGACTATTTAGGCCACCCTTAAAAAAATTCCTTGTTTGATGTTGCCTACCCATGTCTTGTAGGGTTGGGTAGGTAGGTAGAGATTTTTTTGTTTTGTTTGCCAACAACATAAGTTACATATTCTAGACAAGAAAACGACATTATAGCAGGAAAAAATCTTTAAAAAAAATTTGAAACAATTTATGTATAAAATTTTTCAGGTAGGCTGCTTTTTAGGTGGGTAGGTAGGCAACATCAAACTATCCAAATTTTATTTTTGGCCTTCTCATGAATCTTTTGAACGATTCACATGTTATCAATGAAATTCAAATGTAAAACACACACTTACTTTACATGATTCACAAGTCATCACCCCATAATGGAGACCTGAGCTTCTTCCACCACATACTTTACATGGAGGTAACTCGTCCATTCCTTAAATAAAAAGAAAACAACAGGTCTGCAAGGGCACCACTAACACAGTTATGTGTGATTAATACTGATACATGTACAAACAGTGCAATAAATATTCATTGAACATCAATTTTAAAATTTTCATACCTGTCAATTTTTCAAAATCTCCATGGGGATATAAAAGTGCAAGAGGACATTATGCTCCTGTTATACATGTAGTGTCATGTATTTAATTAGCATGTATGAGCTTAAATACCCTTTTAACTCATTTGAATGCCAGTGTTGAGGTGTTCAGTTTATATAATAAAGAATTTCAAAATTCATGTCAACACCTCTCACGGGGGGAATCCCACATAAATAGTGAAGTTGGCAGGTCTGAATTTGACAAAATGAATTAATTTTGTATTTTTTAATCCATTAATACAAAGTTTCGTTTAATTCCAAGCACTATGAATATTTTATGTATGTTGCAGACTAATTTCAAAATAATTATTTCTTATGTGTGTGAATCAATTTTGAATAGCAATATCAATTAAAATATAATTATTATGAATAAAAACTGCCTTATTGGGTAATTAAAGTGATCTACTAACAGAGATGGCTATTAAACAAATATTTGTACTAGTTATTTCCCTTGGGAGGGACATAATGTATCTGTGTTTAATGTGTGATTTTTTTTATATCTTTTTCATAACAAAGGTACATATCATTTAAGCTTAAAACTTTTGATATCATTAGGAATATTTCAAAATAAAAATTCGTAAGGGTTCCGCGGAACCCAGTGTCTCGCCTACTTTTTGCTGTTAATCACAGGCTCAGCAAAAATGAGGAAAAAAATTAATAAAAATATTCCTCTCTATACTATCTTTTGATTGTAAGTAGCTTCTGTCCAAGTTTGGTAAAAATCCAGGATAGTTTATGAATCTAATAAATGTTTTAAAAACTTAAACTGCAGACTGTATGTAATGTTAACTGGAAGAAAAACTAAGTCCATTTATAAGTAAAATACGGAAAAAATGGAACAAAATTTCCTTCTAGATACTAGCTTTTAATCATAAACAAGCTTCTGTCTAAGTTTGGTACAAATCCAGGATAGTTTAAGAAAGTTGTTAAAATTTTAAAAACTTTAACCACAGAGTGAATGTAATGTTAACTGGCAGAAAAACTAAGTCCATTTATAAGTAAAATACGGAAAAAATGGAATTTTTTTTTTACAAAATTTACTTCTGGATACTAACTTTTAATCATAAACAAGCTTCTGTCCAAGTTTGGTACAAATCCAGGATAGTTTAAGAAAGTTGTTAAAATTTTAAAAACTTTAACCACAGAGTGAATGTTATGTTAACTGGCAGAAAAACTAAGTCCATTTATAAGTAAAATACGGAAAAAATGGAATTTTTTTTTTACAAAATTTACTTCTGGATACTATCTTATGATCATAAACAAGCTTCTTTCCAAGTTTGGTACAAATCCAGGATAGTTTAAGAAAGTTATTAAAATTTCAAAAACTTTAACCACAGAGTGAATGTAATGTTTCCTGGCAGAAAAACTAAGTCCATTTATAAGTAAAATACGGAAAAAATAGAATTTTTTTTTTACAAAATTTACTTTTGAATATTATCTTATGATCATAAACAAGCTTCTGTCTAAGTTTGGTAGAAATCCAGGATAGTTTAAGAAAGTTATTAAAATTTCAAAAACTTTAACCACAGAGTGAATATTTGTGGACGCCGCCGACGACGACGACGACGCCGACGCCGACGGAATGTAGGATCGCTATGTCTCGCTTTTTCGACAAAAGTCGAAGGCTCGACAAAAATGGATTAGAATGCCTGAATATGACTTTAAACTTCTCATACTTTGCAGAGGCAATTGTCTTGTTAAGAACCAGTCTATTATTTCCCAGTTGTAATGATAACTTATACTGCTCTAATATAACATCATAAACTATAGAAAAAAAGGGAAGTAATATTTCCAACTTTAAAGCCCCTTCAGTTTTCATGATAACAACAAAAAACTTGCAAAAAGGGAAATTTCAGGGATTAACGCCAAAACAGGTTAACAGATTTTTTCAATTTTCAGGGTAGATACATCTTGTCAAGCTGGTCCTTTTTGTAGTTTTCACTTTTAACCTAGCTCCTATAATTTTCATGATAACAGCCAATAACTGCTAAAAACTGAGGAAAAAAAAATGATATTCCAGGGGCAATAACTCCAGAACAAGTACTTGGATTTTTCTCCAATTTTCAGGGTGGATACATCTTGTCATGCTGATCATTTTTGCATTAACACTTTTAAGCTTCAGTTACTCCTATAGTTTTTGTAACAATAGCAAGGAAATGCCCAAAAAGTGAATAGCAACATTTCAGGGGCAATAACTCCAAAATAGGACAAATATTTACAAACATACTTCATTTTTTATGCATTTTAGTTTCCAATGCTAATAATACATGTAATGAAAATGTAGCTTATTTTCATTTCTACTTAAGCATTTGTATAATGAGCCCTGAACCTGTTTGTTGCTTCCCCTGTTTTTTAAACAACCTGAAGATCTCATGCACTTTATTTTAAAATGTAAACCATTGGAAGAAGCTAGATCTAAGTTCATTCATTTACCAAGAAGATTACTTTTTGAAAAGATACATTTACCACTTCTAAAGGACCTATTTGAATATGAAGACAATCTTTTACAATTATTAGTGGACTGCACAACATATATCATTTTTTGAATGAATTGGGGACGGATATTGAAAGTTTTGTCTTGTAGCCTTTGCTTTGCACTACATCAGAGGAGGTCAAATTCATTGTGGGGTTCGTATTGCTCAGTCTTTAGTTTTCTATGTTTGTCAATTATCCGTTTGTTACATTTAGAAGCAGGGATTACGTCTCCATTGGAGTCATTTTTTATGGATTCGGTACTAAAAGGTGCTAAGCGTGTATTAGAATGCACAGTTCATAGCAAATTGCCTTTAACGACGAAGATTTTAAATGAAATATTCACTTTGTTGTCATTAAGCAGTAGTAAGGACTTATGCTTTTGGGCAGCCTGCTTAGTTGCCTTCTTTTCCTTTTTAAGAAAGTCAAATTTATTTGCTCCGTCTCTTTCAGCTTTTGATCCTGTGCGACAGTTATCTCGAGAAGATATCACTTTTCAAGCAGAGGGTGTCCGATTAAGAGTAGTGAAAACCAAAACCATACAATTTTCAGAGTGTGTGTTAGAAATCCCACTTCCAAGAGTGAACAACTCTCATTTATGTCCCTCTAAGGCTCTCCTTCTTAATTTCAAGCAGGTACCAGCCATAAGCTCCCCATCACTGGTCTTCTTGTACTTAGTGCAGGGCAAGGTAACACCTCTTACCTATGCCACCTTTGTAAAAATGCTAAAACATTACTTATCATTGTTAAATTATGACAGCACCAAATATTCGGGACATAGTTTTCGTAGAGGGGGAGCCTCCTTTGCCTTAGAATGTGGGATACCAGCTGATCATATTCAGTCTCAGGGTGATTGAAAATCAGATGCATATAAGTTATACTTGGATCCTTCCTTTGCTCATCGACAGAAAGTCATGAATAAATTTGCTGCGGCCCTTGGCAAATGATAAACTATACTTACATACCCCTACTGGTTCCACTTTACATGTTTGGGAAGTTTGGAATACCACAGATTGTTCATTAATTAATTTGTGTATTGTTTGAAAACTGTACTGTTGTTTGTGGTTTTATTAATATGAAAAACTAAGCATTAAACTGTGGTTCTTTTCCCAAACATGTGTTTGTTTTACTAGTACCCAACTGGATTCACTGGTTTCTAGACTTCATTCCGAGCAGAGTAGGTCAGATGCTATTCTGCATCCGTTCTGAATCTGGTCTAGACTCCAACACATTACACTGTCAGTTTAAGAGGACTTAAGGGGGGGGGGGGGGGGGGGGGGGGGGGGCTTATTTCTGAATGCTGTAGATTAATGTTGTATTTTTATATAAATAAAAATTGAGTATTAATACACAGTATAGTGAAATGCAATTCATCCTTGTGAATGCATTGCCTCTTATCAACAACATATTAAGTTACTTCATATCAGGATACGGTCATTTATGGAAATGAGTGTATCCTTAGCTTTGTATGTCATTGTAAACTTTTAACCAATGAGAAGATTGGGTTTTCCTAGTTGCTGCTGTTGAAATCTCGTTCCCTAATTGTGTAGTGAGATTTAGTTAGAGAACCAATCAGAATAGGGCGCTCATTTAAAAATGTTCAATCAGATAGTTAATTAATTACTGTTGGTTCTTTGTTCTAACAATTGCGCGCCTTCATAGGCATTCAAGCTAATTCAGTTGCATGAAGCAGAAGCATTATATTTTTGCAGTTGGAAATTTTTAAATCCCATCCTCACCCACCCTTTAAAGGGCTTAATATTTGTTTTATTATTGTATCAATTTATTTTGTGTATATAATTATGTTTAGAGTAGTTTGACTTACAAGAACACACAGTTTTGTATTCATAATATGTTAGTTTTTATATGGAATACCACAGATTGTTCATTAATTAATTTGTGTATTGTTTGAAAACTGTACTGTTGTTTGTGGTTTTAATAATATGAAAAACTAAGCATTAAACTGTGGTTCTTTTCCCAAACATGTGTTTGTTTAACTAGTACCCAACTGGATTCACTGGTTTCTAGACTGCATTCCGAGCAGAGTAGGTCAGATGCTATTCTGCATCCATTCTGAATCTGGTCTAGATTCCAATGCCATGTTTTCAAGTATTTGGATATAATGTGATAGAAAAGTTTCATAATGAAAGCATAACTTTCATATTGGATTGATGTACAATGTAAATAAGTGTGGTGATGGTGTGATGTGTATATATTATACATGTAAAAAGAAGATATTTAAGAAATAATTCATGGGGGCTTGAATTTATTGTGATTTTACCACAGGTTGGCCCTTAATGCAAAATATTTTACGACGAGCGATAGCGAGGGGTAAAATATCAGCATAAAGGGACAACCCGTGGTAA